TTAGGAAAGGGGGGGGGGGGGGGGGGGGGGTAATCAGGAACATCGACAGTTCTACCCGGGCACGAAAAGACATGGCAGGGCAGCCTCAGAAAATTACCAATGTGGCCACAGGTAAGCAGGATGGGATGCTAAGCAGGGTCTGAAGCGGTGCGAGTAAGAGAGGCGGCATGAAGCAGCAAGGTTGACAGACATGGGTTGTCGTTGGTAAAGAGCGGTGCTTCCTGGTGAAGCCGCTAGGATAGACCAGTTGACATGGAACCACTTGGCCGTGAACCCAGATGTTGCTTAATCTAGCCACAGCGTATTGTCCATTGTCGAGTCCCTTGATCACAAAAGAGTCGTAGCTTGGTCCAGAGCTTGAGTCGGCAATTTGCCATCGGACGCCCATCGAAGGTGTCAGATTCGAAGGCGGGGGGAGAAGGAGCAACTGGCATTTGCCTCATCGTGTGCCCAAGCTCCTTCCCAAACTTCAATGCGAACCAGCTAGGCCTCAACGCATCGAAATCTGTCTGCCTGACGGTGGCCTGTGAATGCTAATGGCCAACCCATCACAATCCAGAGCAACCCTAACACCAGGACAAAGAAGTTGGTGGCGCGTGAGGCCTCAAGACTTGGGCCCACGACCTTGGTAATGAATCCAAACCTGACTGCTCTACTAATAAAAGTTACAACTAACACGTAAGTTACCAAGGTCCCATACTCCAGACAGCCATGAGCCCCTAGATCCCCGCCTTTCAGAAACTATTTGCCCGACAAATTCGGCCATGGAAATTGGGTTCGACTGCTTTCTCCACAGGTTTGAAATGGATCCTGAATTGGCCGGCTTCCTACAGACCTGGTTGCACTATCAAGTCCGACGGCTCCTACCTATCGATTGATCAGCGGCACATGCCTAAACGTGGTCATATACTAACTACTACTTCGTAGAACCTTCTCTATTCTGTCAAAAATACGGCCAACAAAGACATGCATGTCTCACCTGCCGGCCGTTTTGGACTGGAGTCAAACAACCGTGAGAAAGACTGTCCATCATGTGCAGCAAAAACTGACCACATATACATGATCCAACATCCTGAGCCACCATGGCACACGGGTACCACCACTCGATTTTGCTTCGAGGCGTGCAGAAAGATAAGGAAATCGTCGCCATATACGGCATTACGCACATTGCTACACCACTCTCGGGATTGTGGAATGGGCTGATTGGCTAAGAGAAGCCTTTCTCTCCTCGTTAATTCGTCCGCCATTGGTCGTACAAACCCTAATGTCTTATGCATCGTAACGACTACATCACCAACCGTCACAACCGTCTGCAGCAGCCTCATGTTGGTGCGCAGCCTCGCCGCCATCTGTAACAGTCGCAGTCACGGAATCAACGGCGGATCTCATGTTGGTGGTTCCTAGCGGTTTCGGGAATGCCCACCTGACAAACCAAGGAGTGCAACCTCGGGGCGCAACGTCTTGACGTGAACTCATGTCGGCTGTTGATTATTGGCCAGGAAGGCATCCCTCGTTTTGCGTATCTAATAATGACTATCTTGTTCCTATGTTTAACAGGACTTTCCAAGACTGAATAGCAACCCGATATTTTAAAACATTGAGCGCGAGCAGAAATCTACGTCCCGGATTTTTTTTCCCCCTCCAAAAATTGAGTCCATTTGAGGCACTGCAACTACAATACCATGCCGATGGCTAGTACACATCGGATTTCCTGCCTGTCGGATATTGACCCGACTCTTTACCCCCGCACCACCACATGCATCTTCCGCCTCAGTGTCTTACGTTCCCGTATGGATCACAGAGCAGATGTTGCGACACGGCACCCCTGGTATTCAAATCGGTGGTTTGCAGTAGTAAATTTTCTCCGAGTCAGAGTATGAGACATGTTCCCATTCGTCTCGGGTTCCTCCCAGCTACCTTCTCTTCCCCTCCATAAATTCGGCCTCTCAATAGGCTGACAACTAACGATGAACAATAGATAATAACGACCTATCTGCAATTATTATTTACCCAAGTGTTGGACGTGGAATTATGCAAACTACTGAATCCGGGTGTCCCGGCAAACGGCCCCCAAACGAGGCTGCAGTGGTTCATTTGCTCTGCCCGTCATCCGTCATCATGCTTCATGCCTATTTTGGCTAGACATTGATAGCCTACCAACCAATCTACGAAAGGCGTAGTCATAAACGCAGGCATAAGCGCTGATGGTTGTAGAAATTATGCACAACCTCTCGTCTTGTGACTCTCACGTCGGAGTACCGTGTCATAGCAAACCCAGAACGCATGGACCGGTCTTGAAACCATGGCCTGAGTTCACGTCCAAGCTGGCGTCTCTGCACCTGAGCACACCGTGAGAACTGACTCCTAAAGTTTATTAGCTACCTAGGTACCTAGGCAATTGTGGTTGTTCCTCGGTCCAGCCTTGTCCCGTCTTGTGCAATCGAAACTAATGGAATATCACAACCTATCGAAATCGCAGCGCTATGGTCTATGTTACAGTCCCACTTGGTAACCTTATGATCATATTCTGTAAATGCCCTTGTTATATGGCTTTTGAATGTCAATTGAGGAATTCGAACAGTCAGTTTCTTCTTCACTTTCAACCCCCACCCCCTTTTTTTTTTGACCTTCAATTGTCACAAATGCAATTTCAATGATGGTGTCCAAACTGCGTAAGAAGTGGCAATAACATGCCCGCAACTGTGGCCAATGTATCACGGATCTCGGGCCCCTTTGGTTTTCGCTGAACACTCGGTGTGCCGTCCGAGTATCCATTTGTAGTGGAGTGGCTCTCATGATTATGAGATGAACCGTCTTCTTGCATGGCGTGCATTGCTACGTATCTGAGGGGAAAAGAGAAAAAACTGTTAGCGGGACACAGAGGCACTGAAAGACCAAATTGAGTCACCAAACTTACAAGAATGTCCCGCCCGAGAAGAGCAACAACATTCCCGTCCACCACATGCCGGCATCACCGTCAAGGTGATCACCACCAAGCAACTTGATCATGAGCCACGTAGACAAGGCTCCAACCGGCGCTGCTAGACTGAAAACGACCAGGTGGCCGCGAGCTGCCCGTTTCGACAATCCTTGCCTTAGAAGGACCGAGGTTAAGCCAAAAGCTGCAGGAGCCTTGTGAATCATAATGGCAATGAAAATTATGAATCCAAGCTTCACATTGGAGCTTGCCGATGAGGCACCCATGGCGATGCCGTCCGCAGCAGCATGAATAACCAAACCAATTGTCGTAGCCAAGGTCCTGGTATGCTTCGGTGTTGGGGCCAGCGAACCCAGGAAGCCTTGCTCTTCATCTACCGACGTGGTTTCAATGCCGTTGCCACCCAAGTTATCCAAGCTAAAATGCTGCGGTTGCGGACCCGACTGTAGACTATCAGACGCATGTTTTGGCAGCCGGTCGATGAGGAACATGAGAATGAAGCCGAGGATCATGGAAAACCCGACCTCAAAAGCCGGGATTTCTACATGCTCTTCCTCTTTGTGTTTCTCGCCCTCCTTCTTCAGCGAGTCGTGGCTGTTATCGGTCGGCGCTGGTTTGGAGAGTTGGTCATCTCGTTTTTGGTCGGGGGTCGGTATACTTTGAGAAACAATGATGCGCATCGGCTCTGAGTGCAACGTTGCGCCATCATACCTGTTCACCGGGCGCCTCGCCGTGACTGCAGCGACTTGTTCGATGATTTCTCCTTCTTCGAGTCCAAATTTCCACGGGCTTCGTCGCGACAGGCTTCGTACCTTGTGCGCATGTGATGAAGTGATGGGGGATGACGCGGCCGCTTCGATTCCTTCGGGAATAATGACTATAAGCGACGTCCCTACCAATACTCCTACACCAATGCTAGATATAAATCGTAGTTGTGATTGTGACAATGTCATGGAGAGTGGGAGAGCTCCGGCGAGGAATGACCTGCATCGTCATTAGCTTTTGTCTTTCTTCGGGGGGGGGGATTCGCTCTGCAGTCTTACGCAACGGTCATTACCACCTGTAGTCAAACTTTCGGTAAGCTAGCTGTCCAATCAAACTACGTGCTGCAGAGAGACGAATTGGCTTACGCAAAGGCCGAGAAGTAGCAACATGCCGGCCATGGTGCTGGCTGGTACATGCGTCGCAAACGCCGCAGTCGACAGTGGTGCTTGCGGCCTGTCAAGGTGGAAATGGAGAGCTGGTTACCAGCGCATCGTGACCCCATCAATTGTTGGCGATCGTACAAGTACTCGCGTGAGGAAGATGGATGCCAGAGGCCAGCGTTCGACGAAGGAGACAAAGACTGGAGATGCCTGAGCGTGGGAGAAAGGACGGCTTAGGTTTCTGTACCTGGATGGCAGAATTGTTGGATTCGTGGTCGTTGCGACACCCTGGTCACATTTCTAGGCTTGGCCGAGAGCCCCTCTGTGGCTCCGTGTCTCGATCGCTCCTTCCATTCCATTTGCACACTGGCCGAGCCCCACGTTTAACGGTCTTGGCGGTCGACTTGTCAACTCTGATTCTTTGCGCTCGAGAATTGCATACTTCGGGTTCTCTGCGAGCAACCACGGGCGTGTGTCATCACATCACCATAGGAAGAGGCTGTCAAGGCATCTTTTTTCTTTGTTTTAACTTACCACGTCCTGGTACCGCCGCAGTGACTATGGCTTCCTCGTCATGGCAGATTCAGCCCCGTCGAGAAAGCGGCGTCACATTCTGTCGTCAGTAAACCAGGACTTACCAAGCTCGGCATCGCGGGCGGCTTCCAACCACGATGGGAAAGACGCCTCGCGTGAGTCATCTCCAAGAGCGGAGAAATCATCGCGAAACACCCAATATGAAGATGGAGGCGATGATCTTACCAGACCTCGTCAGTCACGACAAATCAGACAAGTCTCGTCGTCGACGATCCGGAAGCGGACACAGAAACAATGAGGGACATGGTCGACACGGAAGACACCAGAGTCACGATGGAGACGAAAGGGTGCATTCCTCAAGACCAAGCAGGTACCGCCACCGACGTCGACATCGACGCCGCTCGCCAACACCACCAAATCCTTTCGAACCTCCGCCACTCGACCCCGAGGCTGCCTTCCGAGAATCTCTGTTTGATGCCATGGCTGACGATGAAGGGGCTGCGTATTGGGAATCCGTCTACGGCCAGCCTATCCACGTGTACTCCAATGAAAGAAGCGGCCCGACTGGTGAGCTGGAGCAAATGACGGACGAGGAATATGCGGCCTACGTACGACAAAAGATGTGGGAAAAGACGCATGCTGGGCTGCTTGAGGAGAGGGCTAAACGTGAAGAACGGCGCAAACAGAAGGAGGAGGAAGAACGCATTGCTCGCAAGCTGCACGAAGACATGGAACGAAGCCTACGGCGTGGAGAAGAACGACGGCAAAAAAGACGGTGGGTCGAGCAGTGGGAGAAGTATACCAGGGCATGGGCATCATGGGACGGTAAATTAGATACCTTGGCGTGGCCTGTTGATGGCAGACAACGCAAGGATATTACTGACGACAAAGCCGTGCGGTCGTTCTTCATCCGCGGGCTGGGCCTGGAGGACATGGGAGAGCAGGCGTTTATGGCCAAGCTCAAAGAGGAGCGAGTTCGTTGGCATCCGGATAAAGTGCAGCAGAAGCTGCGTGGCGATGTAGACAGCGAGGTCATGAAGGACGTGACGGCTGTATTTCAGATTATCGACAAGTTGTGGGCGGATACGCGAGCAAAGGCGTAATTGTTTAAGGGAGATGCATGGAAATGTGCGTTGGGATACGCTGTTGATGCGTCAAGTATTACACTATAATCAAGACACTGATTTAACTGACATATACTCCAAGTCAACTGGTATTTGTATAGGGTTTAGAGTATACATGGTATAAAAGGCTACAAACGCGTCACAAGCACACAACAAGGAAGCAGGATTCACGCGATATGTCGCTGTTATTCATCTATCTTGGACGCAGTCGTCAAATGCCATATCCGGGGCCAAACAACTCCCAAATTATCAAGGTGTATTTACATGTTCATTACTAATGGGGGTATTTTTTTTATGCACCCACGTCGCAGATGCTCCGTGTTCCATACGTTCGTCCCGTGATTTTATGCAGCTTCGTGCCAAACCCCCGTCGCCCATGTCCGCTCTTCTTGGGGACTCTTGGTCGGCGCCAGACTTAGAAGTTGGCGAAGAGAGCAGCGCCGCCCACGAGGGCACCGACGGCCATGGCAGCGGTGGGAGCAGGGCCGTAGGCACCGCCGGCGGGGGCCGGGGGG